ATCAAGTTTCAGGTGTTGGCTAATACGCAAATCGACTAATACTAATACACGAGTAAATACGGTTGGCTAATACTAATACACGAGTAAATACGGTATCGGGAAACTCAGCTCCATCCAATCTCCATCACTTATACCTATTCGGCATCACTGAGCACCGACCAATCCCAGCAGCCCTTGGAGGCTTGAACCTTCACCTGATGATTACTGGATTACATGTCCATCTAGGGCTACGCACAGAAACAACAACCATCCAAACCCAACTGTCAATTGTCCGATTGACTTCTTCAACACAGAGAACCACCCCCCAAGCATCATATTTTTTCACCTTGGTTTTTCTATTATATATTGACATTAAATCCATTAATAACATAGAATGAATATATAGAACAACTAGTCAATATTACAGTTAAAACCCACACAAGGTGTAGAAGTTGGACTCTCCCGGTCTACAGTAATTCCTTCCTCCTGTTGGAATTTCAATGCCCGTCTTGTTTCGGAGTTCAAAACAAAATCCTTTTATTGCTGTGAGCCCCACTCGGTCAAAGCAGGGCGGAGCCACATTTCCATACGAAACGTCTGCTGTGAATGAAACTACTATCAACTAAGTTCTGAACAGTAGCCTAATGATGAAGAAGGCAGTTTCCAAGGTGATATGTAAAACAGCCTCATTGACTCTAGGCTAAATGATGAGAACCAAATTGAAGACGAGAGAGTTCGACCAAATCCTCTGGACTGGAAATAAAGTGTCTCTACTTCAAAGTTCAATTAGCCAGTAAGAAGAAATAATCTGCACTGTGAGAGTCTTTTATTGCTGTGATCTTCTTAAATGACCAGGAAATTTAAAACAGAACTTACTTAAATACAGCACACTGGATGTTTGGGTGCAGTTTGGAAAGTTTTGGAGGAATTTTTATCATGACTAAAATTCCCCTTCTTTTAATTCTATAATATCTGAATACACCGTTACGCACAGCGATAATTACGTAAATAACAGTGCTAACATCACAATCTAGGACATGAAAACATCAGAAGGGTCTGACTTACGCCTGAGAGCCATAATGAAGGGCAAAAAGTTCCCAAAGAAACAACACAAACGAAAGAAAGTGAACGTAGCACAGTTCAATATACGGCGTACAACCAGCAACTGTAAATAAAGACGACATATTGGTACACTCCGCTTGCCGACTGGTTCCCTCGGCGAGATTTAGCGACATATGTCGGAATGATGCAACAGGACGTTTTTTTAATAGAGTTATGGGTGACGTAACTATGGAATGCTAAGTCAGGGACTTCGTAAACTGAGGCCCCACTGTCATTTGATTTTAGTATTTTAGAAAATATTCATATTTAATGAAATATTATTTGAAAAACCATCAGTGACATGAAGTGTTCTGCATCAAAATTCATCAAGCGGCCAAGCTCGAAACCCCTAGCTGGCCAGTTTTGGCAAGCGAGCCATATGTTTGACACCCCTGAGTCAGTAGATAATTACACTACCATATGACTAGGGGACCTTAAAACTGAATGATTGACTTACTACATCCCATTTCTACATCTCCTTTAGCACCAAAATATATAAATTAGAAGCAGAATCTTGAAACAGCAGCATTTTTGGCTCTATTTTAACCTAAAGATTATCTCTGAATGCATCAAAATCTATAGATTAGAAGCAGGATCTTGAACTTTTCGAGACAGCAGCATTTTTGGCTCTAATTTAACCTAAAGATTATCTCTGAATGCACTCTGGTAGCAGCTCTTCTGACAGATAAAAAATACACAGGCACCTTAAATCTGGACCATAGTAATGTGCTAATGGCTAGGGGGCACCTGTGAGTGAGTGTGGACAGGATTTTGTTTGTATTCAGAGGGTTGCTGGTGCTAAATCTCAGCAGGGCATCAGTGTGATAAACAGGCACCAAGACACTCCCTGGGCACAGTCAGGTGCCAACTGATGAAGAACAGAGTAGGAGACGACGTCTCCTCCGACTCTGCCGATGGATATTGACCGAAGGACGCCACAAGTTGATGGAATCATATCGACTTTTTCCGCAAACTGCACGGTGCAACACGATCGGATCAATGTCCCCTCTGTCTCTTTTCACTCGCTTCACCTGCGTGGCTGCTCAGAGTCATTCTTGGTTGTAAACTGAAAGGCAGGGATGAAGCAACTGAAAATATTTTTCTATTATCTGCAATAATATTTTATGTCTTTTTTTTTTTTTTAGCTTTAGCTGTTTTATCCACGTCTAACAGTGTAGGATGTCCAGTAAATGTTGGTGTCATTTTCCGAAAAAGAAAGATTATAAACACATGGCTGAGGATTTTTCTCATCATTATCAATTGCATTTGACTGAATAAACGCAACACTGTGTCAGTGAAGTACAATTTAAAAAGGATAAAGTCACAGAAATGACGTTTTAGGTCCGAGACGGACCAGATAAACTACACCAGGTGTCAAACTCACGGGCCACATACAACATAATTACATGTCAAGTGGGCCGGACCGGTACAGGCTTAACATAATTTACTATAAATAACAAATAGTCCATGTTTTTCCCCTTTGTTTTCAAGCAAATAAGTACCGGGATATATTTGATATTTATTATTATGTCTCATATTTAATGAAATATAATTTTGTTTATTTTCAAAAATCATGCGGGCCGGATCGAGCACCCTAGCGGGCCACGTTTTGGCCCACGGGCCATATGTTTGACAACCCTGAACAACACAGTTCCAACCTGGATGAGTTTAAATGTTCATGTTTCAATTAGTAAAAAAAAAAAAAAAGAAAGATGGCTCCATCCTTCTCCATGTGAACACAGATACATCAGCCACACCGGTCATTGGATTTCAAGACTCGCGGGTGAAGAGATTTGGTCAATCCTGAAACAGCCAATTGATTTTCTTCGCTTTATTTGCAGAGCCTGGCAGCAGGCAGAGTGATTTCTCCCTCCACAGATGCCCTGATTGAATGTAATTCTGTCCGTACGCAGAAAAGCACAATTTACCACCTGTTTTCTATTTTTCGGAGCTGACATTTGGGAATATGAGCTGTACTTTTCGTAAAAAGTAAAACCGCGAAAAAGTCGAGGTTTGACCTTGAAGGTCGATGTTTCTTTAATCACATTCATTGGAGTGCTGTGAGGAGACTGCAGGGAGACGCGTTTGAAGATCGTAAACTGACAAATTAGATTTAGCTGTATTTAACTGGTTAAAATAAAATAATAACAACAAAGAAAAAAAAAACTCTCTCTCTTCTGCACCAACATCCACAGAGAAAATTGATGTTTTTAGCTCAAGGTGAAACAACAGCTGTTGGTTTCACTGCTGTGTCTCTAGATCCGTTAGTGTCACTGAGGAAAATCCAAACAAAGGATTCCTAAGACAGCAGTCACTGAAATGACACAGACCAAAGACGTAAACTAGCCCTTTAGTGAGCGCCTTTTTCCCCACTGACCGAAACAGAACGGCGTCACACGACGTACCACCGGAGGACAAAACAACACATGCTTTCAATGAACAGCAGCTTTACTCATTATGATCAAGCCAGAGCATTCACACACACACACGTAATACGATGTGCCGTTTAACTTTGATGCGAACCATCTGCTGTATTTACTCAAAAAAAATCAAAATGAATGTATTTCCCAACTCAAAAAGGAATAGTTTTTTTCTCTCTCTCTCAGAACAAGAAGAGCAGCAGAGTGACTGAAATGTCAGAAAAGTCTGAATCAGCTCAGAAGTGATGATGTCATGATTAAATGTGACCGACTCCCTTAACAGATTTGAAAAAAAAAAAAAAAAAAAAAAACAACCCAGGGAAACAAGTGCCGCTCCTCCTCAACATCTGTTGTTTCTGAACAGAATGTGAATGTTTAAATGTTTCAGACATTTATATCAACATACATAAAGTGCTGCAGCTCTCAGCGGCTGATCACAGGCGGAGACCAAACCTCGTGGTGACTAAACTCTTCGTCACCAAAAATGTTCATGAACATTCGGCAGATGTTGCCATCATGACTGAATTATTTCAGGGTTTTGTTTTTTTTTTTTTCCAGCTGAAGCGCAAAAGTCATATTAACCACGAATAAAGGTTTTTATTTAGTAAAAATAGCAAAGGTGAAATGATCACAAGAAAGGCAAAAGAGCAGATGCGGCTAAAAATAAATAAATAAATATAATGCTAACCTAGCTTTAAGATGTACAGTAAACAAACCATTGTAGTATTTTTTTTTTCAAATTCCTTCTTGAAATTTTCAATCTTTTATGTAAGTTTAATCCAGTACTTCTCAAATAGTCCAAGTTCAAATTCCTTCTTGAAATTTTTAATCTTTTATGTAATTTTAATCCAGTACTTCTCAAATAGTGGGGCGGGGCCCCCTGGGGGGACAACGGGGTGAGGTGCCAGGTGGGGCGTGAGGGCCTTCCAATGGAATATGGCCATAAGTGTACCACTGCTGTAATGCTTAAATGATAATCCTCCAGTCACTAGGTGGCAGCAACTCATACAGTGGTTTGTACAGATAAAACAAATGTACATGTTATCAGGTTCTCAATCGTTTTTCAATTTGCGGGGGTGTAGGTCAAAGAGGGGGTTGGAGGGTGGGGTGGGGGGTGTGAAAACATTTCTGTCCTCCAGGGGGTGCATGATAGAAAATAACTGAGACCCACTGGTTTAATCAAACCAGAACCATGTCAGTGCTAAGAAAAAACAAAACTAAACCAATACTGATTTAAGCCTCTTCCCAAAGAAAGCTCCAATAAAACTTTCAAAGTGTGACAACTGGTCAACTGCTGCCACATGTGGTCAGTTGGCGATAGAAAAGTGAATCCAAACGGACGATTTCTGCTGCCACGAATAACATATTTGAACACTAACAGATGGCTAACTAAAACACAACACTTTTTTTGGTATTATTCTGAACTTTTTGTATAGTCTGTTTGTCTGGGGTTTTTATCACTGTAGGAGGACGGGAGTGTGTGTGTGTGTGTACAGTTACCTGTGATTTCACCCGCGCTGTGTCAACGTGGACGATCAGATGCTCCTCCCAGTGATCCCAGCTCATCAGGACGCCTGCACAGTCCCCGACCGTCCTCTTACTGACGTGGTAACCCTCTGGTTCCTTGGGTACGCTCATGGTCCTGGTCACTCTCCTGGTCCTGGTTGTCCTGGTTGACCTGGGTCGGCAGCTCCACCACTGTCGCCCCCTGCCTACACCCCTGCTCATCAGCAGGGGGAATCCCTCCACTGCCTCACTGCCTTTGGTGTGAGGTAATTTTTAATGGTACACATGGTCCATGGAGACATTAGTAGTTCTCTGGTACAGTACAACATCAGTATAGTCCAGGATCATACAGGATTAAGTTATTGACCAATCAGGCTGATTCATCTTCTTCTTCTTCTAGTGTCCATGTTACTCTAGCAAACAACCATGAGTTCATCTGCACCTGTCACACTGAGTCAGGAGGAGGGAGATCCACCGTTGTCCTGTAGCGTTAGCATTAGCACCGACAGTTATCTTTGCCAGGAGTTAAACGACAACAGAGGTCAACAAGCAGCGTCAGCTGATGAAAAAAAATTGTCAACATACTGTATATCATAAGTGTTGCACAGAACTCCCTTCTTTGTTCTGTTTACCAATAACAGAGTTCCATTAGCTCAGGGACGAGCTAAAGCCGCTAATCGAATGTAAGAAATGTTATTTGTAGCCACGTCAGGCTGCAGCTGCAAAAACCCTCATAAACAAACACACACACACACACACAGAAGAGGGTGATTTGTGTGATGGTCTGAGAGAGAATCATGAGTTTGAGTCACCGACCGTGGTAATTACTTTAACTGATTTAATTTATGCTCTCGGATGTCGTCATCTGCAACCAGAATAGTTTTTGTAATAACAAGAGGAATTGGAAGGGCTCCTGAAATCAGTCGGTACACTTGACAGATAAAAAATGGATTTTTCTGGAGGATTAGAGGCCTTTTCAACATGAAATACCCAGAAGGATAAGACTGAGCAAATATTTAAAGTCCAAATACTACATCAGGCTGTATCGGTCCAGAACTAACATGTTTTATTTAATGCCAAGTTTAATTTTCTCTTTACTTGTGGGGTTTAGATTTGGGAAATGAAGAGGGAGAAAGCAGTACAGAGAAAGTGGAAGCATGTGTTTTTTTCCCTGCCTGGTTTCACACACAGTGACTGGACGAACAATCCATTCCAATTAAAGTGAGCTGAGGCCCAGTGGAGAGCAGGAGGATCACATCATTCCCCTACGAAAAACAGCCCAGAAAGGCCTCTTCAGGAGCGACCAATGTGGGCTGGGAGCTGACGAGAAGGCGGGTCAGGAGGAGGAGGAGCAGGAGGAGGAGGAGGAGGAGGACAGAACACGGGCTCCAGAGTTCATCTTGAAAGATCAACTTGGTGGTACGACGGTGGTGAAGGTGGGGGTGATGGTGGGAGGGCGGGGCTGAGGCCCAGGAATGAGGAGGCGACCATAAATCCTCACTGCACCCCTTCGTTTTCTCACTCTCACTGTGTGTGGGGCGAGCAGCGAATTAATTACGCGGTTGAGATTAATTAGATGATGTTAAGAGAAATGTAAAGCTGGCAGAGGGAGGGAGGACGGGGCGGGGGGAGTGCGGCGCCGACCAGACTAATGGGGCGTTCATGAACTCTTAATAGATGCTGATCCACAAACAGAAAAACGATAACGACTGTTGTTGAAGACGAAGTGATTTAAAAAAAAAAGAAAAAAAAAGGGAGTATTTAATTGTTTTTTTTTTGTGCTCCTCTATAGAAGCTCCACATAATTTCCTGGTAAGAACACGTTACGTGGTGGTTGTACTGCAGTACTGTTAAGTATCAGGTTGATACAGTCAGGCAGGAGGATCCAGAAGTAGAGGACTGAAAGGCTCTGTGAGGTGGCACTCCGTTCACAGGTGGCAAAAATCCCAGGTGAAAAAAAAACTCCAAAAATACATGAACAAGACAGTGGGCAGAAATCCCAAAAACAAACAAACCAAAAAAAAAACAGGAAATACTTTGTAGAATGAGACAAGTTAACACAGCAGTTAGCACTGAAGTCATGTGGAGCTGGAGCTTAAATACTGCCCTTCCTCAATTGGAGGCCACGCCCCCTCAGAGCTCTGGCTCGTCAGCTCCTGATTCAGTACAGCTGTAGAGAGGAGACAGCAGCAGCAGCAGCCAGGACAGAGAACACACAAACACGACAAGTAACAGTTCCGTACCAGTTTCCACTTCAATTTGGAAAAGCCAGACGCCGAACAAAAAACATTTTATTTTAATTGTTCAAATAGCTAAAAGCCAAAGGCTCCTGTTATGTAATGATACAATAACAAAGACCAGACATTGTTTGTTTTTGAACTCTGATTCCCAGAATAAACGGCACGTCTCTCGACTGCCTCCTAAAGTTTCTTACCAAACCTGTTAATCTACTGTTTGCTGACAGTCAAAACAAACATGAATAAAAGATAAAGCAGAAATAAAGAACAGGTGGATGGGGGTAATTATTCTCCCCCTGTTCTGACCTTTGGTCCGTGTCTCAGGGCCATTAATGTTATAAGGCTGTAAAATATTGACTCCTCACATAACTATTTTTATTGTTTTTTTGTTTTCTTGGTAAACACGGTGTGATGTCAGATCAGGGGTGTCAAACTCATTCATGGGCCACATACAGCCTGAATATGTCAAATGGGCCGGACCAGTACAATCATAACATCATTACCGATAAATAATACATAAGTCCATGTTCTTTGCCTTAGTTTCCATGCAAAAAAAAAGTATATTAGAAAAATTCATATTTGATGAAATATTATTTAAAAAAACACAATGAACATGGAGTGTTCATGCATTTTTTTTCACTTTTTTTCAACTAAAAATACATCAAGTTTTGGCCCGCGGGTCTTATGTTGGACAAACCCGTGCTGGATTATTAATGATAAAACCTGAGCAGAAATTAATTGTCATTCTCCAAAATCCTAGGGTTAAAATTAAGGGTTTTGTCTTTAATTTCAGAAATCTGGCATTAGATTTTTTTTATTTATTTATGTTACATAATTTTTAGTCTTCAGATTAAATGTATAGCTCGTAAATGGGAGGTCCTGCTACGAAATATAATAACAGTTGGAAAAGCAACTTGTCTTTATCTTGACTCATCAAACTTGGGAGCCACTTGATGATGTCATTTCCTTAAAGAAAGCACCATTTCAATGTGAAACATACTGTATAAAAAAAAGGAGCGAATTAAATAAGTTTAAGGAGTTCCATTGTTTTTACAATAACAATTGTAAATTTTTTTTTTATTTTTTTGACACAAATCAAATCAAAAGACCTTAAATATTTTTTTGACACAAATCAAATCAAAAATCAACTGAGAAAGCATGATTGATTTAAAGAATTAAACCATTTTGTTTATCATCAAAAACTAATGCTGATTATTTACCCATATATTATTTGACTATTTCAGCCTGAGCAGAAAGTGAATCAAACTAGACTTCAAATAAATAAAAAAAAAAAAACTGCTCCTGTTGTTTTTATTGAGGAGGTGCTGAAAGCAGCAATGAAATTAGAAAATAAATAAAACCCGTTGCCTCTTCTAAACAACAGACTTGAGGAGATCAAAGCCTTCGGCATAAACAAGTTAACAACTTTGATTTTTCTTCCTTTTCATTTCCCTGAGTCAGGCATCACTTTCTCTGCCTCCTCGCAGTTCCATTACACTAATCCTCAAACTAATAAATGCATCTGGGTCACATCATCAGGAGGGCAGACGGCAGCGTCTGCAGCAGATTACAAAAAAAAAAAAGAAGTGCTTTTGTAAAATCAATCTGCATAGATAACACCAAACACATGTGGTCACTAACTGGTGGATGTCACCGTGGTTACAAAGTTAAACAGGTTAAAGGGAATTAAATAAACAACTCCTGCTGCTTCTGAAAAATGACTGGAAGACTTTTCAACCAGGAAATGAAGTTTCGTTCAACTTTAGAAATTCTTCCAGAAGTTCAAATTGCACAATTTGTACATCCTGCCAGATTGAAGTTGTTCCATGTAGTTATTAATCAAACCAAATATTCAAACAAACAAGGCGGTTGTACCACTATTATCGATTATCCACAATTATTGTGTTGCCTTACTGTGTTGCCAACACACACACAAACACACACACACACACACACAAAGGGCAAAGCCAGTTCAAATGTAATCTACAATAATAAAAGATAACGTCCTAAGCCTAGTAATATTATACCGCTTCACACAGTATGTTGACAGTGAAAATCAACGTTTATGACTCAAGCGGACACAGGAGCTGCTGATCCACTGCTGCCTCGTGTGGTCAGGTTGTGTTACTGAAGTGAGACCAAACCAAACACTGTAAGGTCAAGATGCAAAATAGCATATTTAACCATAATGATTGACACAAAACAGTAGATCCACAACTCCTGCAATGAAAAAAAAAAATCTAAGTCAAATAAATATCTTGTAGGCTACGGACGATGACGATATTATTTGGCGAACCCCTTGACCCCAGCGATAACTCAGTGCTAATGTCTCGAATATCCAGAAATAAAATCCAGTGGATTATCTAAACATTTAGACAGTTGATGAAAAACAGGAGACTTGCTTAAAAATAAAATACATCTTTATTTTTTATTATCTCATCTCTTTAAAAAACTATTTACAGTACAGTACACCTTAATGATCCGAACAGAGCTGTTGTATCAGACACTCTCATGTGACGCAATATTTCTCAGGTACTAAAGGAAACAATATTTGTCTTTTGATAGAAGGTGACTCATACACTAGATGCAGGTTTCAGTTTCTGGTCCAAGCACATGCTTAGTTGAGATCTGTGGTTGAAGCTTCCACAGTACTGTATCTGGTATAATTTAGTGTGGTGAGTACTTGTCTACATACACTGCTGCTCTGGGCTGAGGAGTACAAAGGAAGTGGGTTAGTTTTTATATCACGTGACAAAACCAAAAAGTTTAGTTTTTAACTTTAAAAACAACATAACAAAAAAAAAAAAAATATATATATATCATGAACTGCAGTTTGCCTCCACTGCACTCCTGTAACAAACGTACTGGTAGAAAAATAGATTTAGTTGTAATTTACATGTAATTTACATGAGCTTTTCTGAAGTTTTTTTTTCTACCAAAACAAAATATGTTTCCAAAAGGTGTTGCAGTTTTAGTTCCTTTGTTAAAAGCAAAGAAGTTAGGCTTAAAATTGGGATTAAAATAGTGGGTTTTTTTGGGAGGGGGCGGGGGTGACAAAAATGTAAAGACTTCAAATAAGGACTTTGTTAGTAAATATGAGAGGCCAATGTGTGACTCAGAGCCACAAATGTCCAATAGGAGCCTGGATACTTGTAACCTGCACGTTCAAAGTACTACTGGTCAAATCTTTTACCTCAGTGCATGCGATCAGGACTTCACTTTGCGACGTCGTTAACTCTACCAGTCTATGGACACCGAACTGCTCACGCGTTTATTTCCAGTCAAACGTTCGACCCACCATCTCAAAGAACCTCTTGTTGGGTTGGTGGAAGAACTGGTAGAGTTTCTGCAGGATGCTCGGCGCCACATGAGGATGAGCCCTGCCCTTGGAGTCATGTAAACAGCGCTCTCTACCGTGGTCCCTCAAACAGTAGAATCCTTTAGTTTTATTGAAGTAAAAGTTTGACGCGTTGATCTGAGGTTCAAGTTTCAGGAAGCGCTCCACCTTCTTCATCTCAGGGAAAGGGTCCCTGATCAACTCGTCCCCATCCACCACGTGAATATTCTCCAGCGGAAAGTACTGCAGCCAGTTCTGCATGTGCACGTGGTACAGGCTGCGGTTGAGGGCCTTGTATCTCAGATTGATTTCTCCGTCCTTCACCAGCATGGACTCGATGGGTTGGTAGCGCTTGTGTTTCTGGAGACGGTTGTAAAAAACCTGCGTGTAGTCCGAGAGCACTCGCTCCGTCGGGTCTCTGAGGATGAGCAGCAGCTTGATGTCAGGGTTCATGTCATAGATGCGCTTGGGGACTTTGCTGGAGGTGAAGTAGGCCGGCGTCTTCTCCACCGTCAGCTGGTCAGGGAAGGAGTAAGGCATCTGGCTCAGGTACCAGGGGTAGCCTTTCTGGAAGTGACTCTCCCAGTCGAAGAAATGCACCTCGTTCTGAGCTGCAGCGACGGCGCTGTGAAGACTTAGCATCTCGATCAGAGCCCGCGTCCCCCCTTTCCTCACACCGATGATTATAATCTGAGGCAGCTGCTGCAGGGTCCCATTCGGGTGCGTGGTCGTCCCGTTGTCGGCGGGGTAGGAGGTGGGAGGCGAAGGCAGCTCCTCATCTGCCATTGGCCTAGAGGGGACGGGAGGAGACTGCATGGCAAAAGGCAGCAGTCCGGGGACCCAAAACTGTATCCAACATTGAAGGAGCAGCTGCCTGAGGACAACGGTCCGACAGAAAGATGGAACAGAGCTGATTCTTCTCTTCTCTGCCGGCAATGGTGACGACTGCAAGACAAGAAAACAACTGTGGTCACGGCAAAAACATACCTGCCCTGACTCTTTCAGGTTTATTACTGAGACACCACAATGAAACATTTGTTTACTCATGAGGTAAATAAATGTTGAGCTGCACCCTCAGAGTTACATAACAAGATGGCATTATAAAAAGATAAGCTAAGATAGATAATGACCACTTGCAATACTTGCCATGCAGTGGGAGCATTTAACTGAATTTAATACTGACACAGCGACACCTTAGTAATAAGTGAATGTGTTGTTAAGCATTATAATAATTTACCGAAGAAACGCAAAAAAGCACCATGATAAGGACAAAATCTTTAAAAAGTTGAAAAAGTCGACAAGTAAATAAGACATTATGAATTATTTTATCATTCAAAATGTGCTCCTATGTCCAGAAACGTGCAAAAATGTGCACAAACCGGGACGAACGTTCAAATCCATTCATTTACAGTAGGAACACCAACGACTAAGGTAACTGTAGGTCATGTTTTAAAAATTACCTTTTTTTTTCTTTTTTAAGTTTTCAAAACCTTAAAAAAACATTCTTTTTTGGATACTACTACTACTACTACTTTATGAGCCAGGTTCTGGCAACTGAGCCACAAATTGAGTTTTAATTCAATAACCGCCCAGTTCACCATCATAAATTGTTTATTAATTAGTTGTATTAATTAGCACTTCTTTCCCGCATGTGTATATTGGCGTTAAAGTTCTTAAATATACACGTGTCTCTTTTAAAGCATCCCTTTTTCTTATAATTGCATTATAATAAAAATTTAATAACGTATTTTCCTCTAGTCCACATTATCGTTATCTCCTTCACTACCCCACGTTCAGCCAAAACTTGCCCGTTCCTTCCCGCACCTCTCACCTGGTTTAAACTATAATCCTCTCCGCCACACAAATGTCATTCCGTGCGCTGCAAGCTGCAGACCAGTGTGCATTCCAACATTTCCAGAAAGATCCTCGCTTTGTGTTTCTCTCCTGAAGCGCACAGAGGAAAAACTCCGGCTCCACCAGTGCGGCGCGCTCACTCCACGCTCCTGTGTGTCTCCTCTTGTCCTCCTTCTCCTCTCAGTTCACAGCCGAACTGTGCTCCT